GTACCCAGAAGGAAGTTTAAACAGAACCAAAAACGAGTGGCTCACATCAGGAAGAGGTGTGCCTGGGCAAATGGGAGTTGTCACCCCTCGCATCCTAAGAAGTTGGAAAAGGAACGTGGTACATTGATCAAGGCTGCTGTTGCTGTTCTTCCCTGTAACAGTGGTCACAGGAGCCCTGAGCTAGACACTCAGTGGTCTCTTCTTGGCTTTTCTAAATGGGATCAACCATTTGCTTTCAAAGTACAATGTTGGGCAATCAGGCTCCTTAGCTCTGGAAAAAGCCATTCTACCAATAACAACTTAAACAAGACGTTAAGAAGAAACCAACAGCCAGGCACAGTGGCTCATGCCTGTAAACCCAGCACTTTGGGAGGCTGAGGCGGGTGGATCATGAGGTCAGTAGTTTGAGACCAGCCTGGCCAACATAGTGAAACCCCATCTCTACTAAAAATACAAAAATTAGCCAGGTGTGGTGGCATGCACCTGTAGTCCCAACTACTCGGGAGGCTGCAGCAGAGAATCACCTGAATCTGGGAGGCAGAGGTTGCAGTGAGCTGAGACCACACCACTGCACTCCAACCTGGGTGACAGAGTGAGACTCCATCACAAAAAAAAAGAAAAGAAAGAAAACTATTAAGCTGCTGTCTTAGCACTAAGGTATTCATATAGTTTAACATCTGCTAAAAGGCGATTACACTGTGCCTCTGATCAACAGATCCATGAATAATTCAATGATGAAGTGATTGCTCATCACAAAAATGTCTGCCTCTGCCTTACCCAGACCAGGAGTAGACACTGAGAAAGAGCAAAGCTGGTTGGTGACTGTATCACACATTCAGCCAGAGGACAAAGGCCATAAAGGCTTATTTAGCCCTAACCATCGAGCTTTCCTCCTTGTATTGACTAAGGTAAAATATGGCAACAATGAAGGAATTGCTTCATGAATAGTAACCCTGACAATGTGATCCGGTCTCATTTCCCTATTTCTTTTTTTTTTTTTTTGAGATGGAGTTTCACTGTTGTTACCCAGACTGGAGTGCAATGGCACGATCTCGGCTCACCACAACCTCCACCTCCTGGGTTCAAGCAATTCTCCTGCCTCAGCCTCCTGAGTAGCTGAGACTACATGCATGCACCACCATGCCCAGCTAATTTTTGTATTTTTAGTAGAGACGGGGTTGACCAGGATGATCTCGATGTCTTTACCTAGTGATCCACCCGCCTTGGCCTCCCAAAGTGCTGGGATTATAGGCGTGAGCCACTGCACCCGGCTCATTTCCCTATTTCTTTCTTTTTTTTTTTTTGAGACGGAGTTTCGCTCTTGTTACCCAGGCTGGAATGCAATGGCACAATCTTGGCTCACCGCAACCTCCGCCTCCTGGGCTCAGGCAATTCTCCTGCCTCAGCCTCCCGAGTAGCTGGGACTACAGGCACATGCCACCATGCCCAGCTAATTTTTTGTATTTTTAGTAGAGACGGGGTTTCACCATGTTGACCAGGATGGTCTCGATCTCTTTACCTCGTGATCCACCCACCTCTGCCTCCCAAAGTGCTGGGATTACAGGCTTGAGCCACCGCGCCCGGCCTCATTTCCCTATTTCTAAGCCCATCTGAGGAACTGTTCTGGAAATATTCAGAGGGGCCTGAATACCACTTATACCAGTCTTGACTAAAAAAGGTTACAGTGCCAGGGAAACACTAAAAGGCTTTTGTCGGGTGGAGAAAACTGAGAGAAAGCCAGTTTTCATCTAAGTACATGCACAATATAAAAGAAAATAGGCCAGGCAAAGTGGTTCATGCCTGTAATCCCAGCACTTTGGGAGGCCAAGGTGGGCTGGATTGCTTGAGCTTAAAAAAAAAAAAGGAAAGAAAGAAAAACAGAAGGAAAGAGAGAAAAAGAAAAAAGAATAGCAAAAGGGGAGGGAGGGAAGAGAAGGAAAGGTAGAAAAGAAAAAGAGACCAGCTCCAGGAGTGCCCCAAAGGAAGTCTATTTTCTCTTTTTGGACGTATAGTACAAATAGTTTGCTACTTTCAGTTATATTCATATGAAAAATCTGCTTTCTTGGCTATGAGCAGTGGCTCATGCCTATAATTCCAGCACTTTGAGAGGCAGAGGTTGGCAGATCACCTGAGGTCAGGAGTTCAAGACCAGCCTGACCAACATGGTGAAACTCCATCTCTATTAAAAATAACAACAATTAGCCAGGCATAATGGCATGTGCTTGTAATCCCAGTTACTCAGAAGGCTGAGGCAGGAAAATCAATTGAACTCAAGATGCAGAGGTTGCAGTGAGCCAAGATTGCACCACTGCACTCCAGCCTGGGCGACAGAGTGAGACTCCATCTCCAAAAAAGAAAAATAAAAACCACAACAAAAAACCTGCTTTCTCCTGCCTAATATCACACTCACCAAAATAATCCATCATTTGAAATAGTTTCATAAAAGGAAAATGAGGAAATTAAAAGGAGATGGATTCCTAACACTAGTGACAGCTTTATGTAGGGGTAACAAAGATGCTTACTTCTGATTTGGAAGGAAGGAGAGATGTGTTTGTAATCCGGAAGACCTAGGAATGGAAGAGTTCCTCTCTTAAAAACTTATGCTGGGTAGTTAAGAGGTGCCATACAGCACACTGAGACAAAGCCAGAGTTTCACCTTAATTATAGACAAGGGACAGTTTATGTGCATTCCAGTCATAACTTACAAATAATCCATTCCCCCCGACAACCTACACTCAAAATAACTTGCTGAGGCAAAGAGGAATGATTCAGAGAAGGTGGAGTATTTTAGCACTCAAAAGTGGAAAAAGAATGCTTCTATTGCTAGGTTAGTGTAGAGAAAGGACCTCTCTCTGACAACTTTTCCTTCTCTCCACGGGTCTTCCTAACTTCTCTCCCTCCCCACTCCTAGAGCCTTCCTTCCAAGTCTTTACACTAGTCAAAGTGCACAGATTCCCAGGATAATGCTATCTTTCACCACTGGCCAATAACAAAGCATGTAAGTATCTGAAGTGACTTTGTTTTACCAAAAGACACTGCTCCAGCTTTAACATGACGAAGTACTCTATGAAGAAGCAAAAGGAAACCATACACTTGATGTTCTCCTGTAACTTTTCCAAGATAATCAAGGTTGCTTGCTGCAGACTGGCCTTTACATATGACAAAGCCATAGAAACTGCTATGAAGGGCAGTGTGGTCCCAGATAAAAACCACCCTGAGGGATATTTTTTTTAATTTTTAAACGGTGCTCTACACATTCAGAGAAACTTCTCTAGTAACAAACTGTAGAAATGATCCCTGAAAGTATAGTCTTTTTTTTTTTTTTTTTTTTTTTATGAGTGGAAAAGTGGCTTCCCCAACTGGGCCTTCATTCTGGCCAGGCACATATACACAGACTGGGCCAAACAAGCTACATATTCAAATGGGCAAGACCAAACTGCACTCAAGGCCCTAATGTTGTTTGTGACCATCCAAACCCTTTCATTTGGCACTTGCACACCAGGAATGATGGCTTTTATTTGGCACTTAAAAATACCTAAGAACACTCTTGTGAAAATATCCGTATTATGACCTAATAAATGGTAATGAGCTGGCTCCTCTCTAAGATGACAGGCAAATATAGAATGAGCTTTCAGGATCTGTGCAACTGACCCACAGTCAACTTGCTATATAGTTAATAGCAAGCCAATAATTGATGGTAGGCTGGGTATAGTGGCTCATGCCTGTAGTCCCAGCACTTTGGGAGGCTGAGGCAAGAGGACTGCTTGAGCCCAGGAGTTTGGGACCAGCTTGGGCAACACAGAGAGACCCCTGTCTCTAAAAAAAAAAAACAAACAATTAGCCAGGTGTGGTGACATGTGGGAAACAGCCATAAGTCTCAGCTACTTGGGAGGTTGAGGCAGGGGGACTGCTTGAGCCCAGAAGGCTGCACTGAGCTGTCATCATGCCTTTGACTGAACTCCAGCTTAGGCAAGAGAATGAGACCCTGTCTCTCTCAAAAAAAATTAAAACCAAAAAACTGATGAATTCCCACTTGCTCATAATACTTAGAATACAGGATGATTTTAGGCTTAAGCCAAATTCTAACTCCTTTCCCCACAATTGGTAACAATCAAACCTTTTCTATTCAGTCAAGGATGCTAATAAGCATCTTTAAAATGCTTATAAGAGAACTGTAAGAGATTCTGGATTTTATCACACAAGTTCCAAGGTGGAGGAGCAGTGACAGTGAGAGATAAGATAAGGTGAACAAGTTTAAAACCAATAGCAGGGGACATTTATTCCTCAATTTTTGTGCAAGAGTGTAAAGATGCATTTGAAAGAACCTGATGGCTAGAGCATCAGCCATGGCTTTCAGGTTGACCTAGTTTACAATTAGACTAGGAAAAGAAGGAAAAAAAAAGGTAACTTGCCTAGTTCACACGAATGATGTCTCCAGCAAACACAGTTGTTTACAGGTTTCAAGCTACATTTTACTAGAGTCAAGGGAAGACTTCAAAAAGCCACATACAGTACAATTTAAAATTGGATGAACATCCTGCAAATGTTAGTGCAAAGTAATTATGCAGACTCTCCAAAACAAGATTGTGCTCATTTCCCAGGTTTAGTCAATGTTGCTCTTTTATAATTATAACCACAGAGGCTTAACTTACCAACTAGCAATGCCTTTGTGTTTTATGTACTATGTACCAAGGGAATGTCACAAAATTTTGGTGAAATGCAGCTTAGTTTCATTAATAAAGCAAATTTCTTATGGAATGTAACAGTCATGTTCCTGGAATGCTGCATGTGTCAAGTTTCATGGAAATGCTCTTAAACTTATGCCTCTATCTTGTTTAATAAAATTACTCTTAGGATATCCTTTTTACTATGTAACTGGAACTGTTTCATGATTTTAAAATGCAACCAGTATAAATGAACATTTCAGAGGTGGGAGAAAATCCACCACTCATCTCAGCTAGACAAAATTCTTAAAAATCAGAAAGCCTATTCACACAAAATTGTATGTAATGACTGTAGTAATCAGTTTATTACACAGATTAATCATTCTTGAACGTACAAGCTCCAGAGGAGCAACTGGGTCTTTAAATATACACAAGTATTTCCATCAAATGAATTTTCACCCTTACATCCAAATAGACCTAAGCAGTTAAAAACATAAGAAAAATAAGAGCTATTAGCTATGTATTAACTGAGAAACCACATACAAACCAAAAATATGGTAGAGAGAAAGAAGGGCTGAAAGGCCAAAGGTTGAAGGGGTAGGGATATGTAAAAGAGTTGGGAACAAAGCCCATTACACTTGATGTACTAATAGCTCCAATCCATTTAAATGTTGACCAGTTAAACTTAGACCTTAAAATGCAGGATGTGGGTAGAGTTTAATCTGGTTGGTCATAACTTTCACCTAAGACGTAGCTCCTTCGGAATAAAATGAATATAGACACAGCTTCATGTTCTTCACCTTGCTTTTCATAAATGTTTTGAGTTTAAATGGATTCCACTTAAAAATAATCTCCTACAGGTGAGTGGAGCTTTTTCTTTCTCATCCAAGCACACACCATACCCACCACCCCCCTCACACCTTGCTGTTACCCAAATTTAAGTCAATAAGGAAAGATTTTAGTCTCACACCTAGGTAATGCCTGTAGAACTGGCTTGTCACACACACACTTCTCTGCTAGGAGGCAATGTTGGTACAGAAGTACAGTATTTCTAGTTTGTTGTTCCAAGTATGTACAACACGCAGCACTGCTGTATCAGGTAAACATGTGCACAGGGGAAGATGAGGCGTGGGCTCATAGAAAGCAGTCAAATGGAAATCAAAAGGACTTTTCTCTTTCAGAGTTCCCCTATCTTTATTTGTAGAGGTTATCCAATAATTTCTTTAATTACATCGCATACTTCTGAGTCCATTCCCGAGCTATTCTGTTGTACCTGTACACACAAAGAGAAGCTTGGCTTAACATAGGTATAGAGTCAGTAAGCAACAGATTCCATTCATTATCCCATCTAGTAACTTGAGGGAATTCTAAGACATTCAAGGGAAAGCCCCTTTCTATCCAAAATTTCTAATAAGCATTAATTCAATGATAATGGAAGGAGCTGTAAAATGTGAACATCTCCTTTAACTGCTACTTACAAAGGATTCTGATTAAATTTTAGTATTTGCTGGCATATACCTTATTCTCTAGTTGATTGGCCTATTTCTACAAAAGACCTCAACTCCATTTACTTAAAAATTCTTGAAACGGTATGATTCTACATTTTATAGTTCTTGAACTCATATACTAACAATGATTAAACTGACCTAAGGCTGGGCGCAGTGGCTCACACCTATAATCCCAGCACTTTGGGAGGCTGAGGCCGGTGGATCACTTGAGCCCAGGGGTTTGAGACCAGCCTGGGCAACATGATGAAACCCTGTCTCTACAAAAAATACAAAAATTAGCAGGGTGTGCTGGTACATGCCTATAGTCCCAGCTACTTGGGAGGCTGAGGTGGGAAGATCATTTGAGTTCAAGAGGCAGAGGTTGCAGTGAGCTGAGATTGCAACACTGCACTCCAGCCTGGGCAACAGATAGAGACTCGGTTTCAAAAGAAAGGGGAAAAAAAAAACTTTCCCTTCATATCAATAAAACAACTGGTTCTGGCAGAACTTATTTCAATAATTTGGTTGACAAAACGAATGGGTTGTTTCAGAAGAGCATCTGAATAAAGTAAGCAGAGCAAATGGTTCTATAATTCTCCTATTAAAAAAAGGGATGCTGGGCCAGACACAGTGGCTCACGCCTATAATCCCAGCAATTTGGGAGGCCAAGGCAGGTGGATCACCTGAGGCCAGGAGTTTGAGACCAGCCTGGCCAACATGGTGAAACCCCATCTGTACTAAAAGTACAAAAAAAAAAAAAAAGTACCCAGGTGTAGTGGTGTACACCTGTAATCCCAGCTACTTGGGGCAGGTGAGGCAGGAGAATCGCTTGAACCTGGGAGACATAGATTGCGCCACTGCACTCTAGCCTGGGCAACAGAGAAAGACCCCGTCTCAAAAAAAAAAAAAAAAAAAAAAAATGTGGAGGGGGGATTTGCTACAAAAAAAAGAATGAAAGATAAGGTCAGGTCAAGTGTGGCGGTTCATACCTATAATCCTGGCACCTTGGGAGGCCAAGGTAGGAGGACTGCTTGAGGCCAGGAGTTCAAGATCAGCCTGGACAACACAGCAAGACCTCATGTCTATTACAATTAAAAAAAGAAAAAAGGGATACTGAGCCTGGGCAACATAGGGAGACCCCATTGCTACAAAGATTTAAAAATTAACTGGTGACTCGGCGCAGTGGCTCACGCCTGTAATCCCAGGACTATAGGAAGCCAAGGTGACTCAATAACTTGAGGTCAGGAGTTCGAGATCAGCCTGGCCAACAGGGCAAAACCCCATTTCTACTAAAAACACAAAACTTAGCCGAGCATGGTGGTGTGTACCTGTAGTCCCAGTTACTCAGGAGGCTGAGGCACGAGAGTCACTTGAGCCTGGGAGGCAGAGATTGCAGTGAGCCAAGATTGTGCTACTGCACTTGGGCAATGGAGCAAGACTGTCTAAAAATAAAAATTTAGGCTGGGCGTGGTGGCTCACGCCTGTAATCTCAGCACTTTGGGAGGCTGAGGCGGGTGGATCGCGAGGTCAAGAGATCGAGACCATCCTAGTCAACATGGTGAAACCCCGTCTCTACTAAAAATTACAAAAAATTAGCTGGGCATGGTGGCACGTGATTGTAATCCCAGCTACTCAGGAGGCTGAGGCAGGAAAATTGCCTGAACCCAGGAGGCGGAGGTTGTGGTAAGCCAAGATCGTGCCATTGCATTCCAGCCTGGGTAACAAGAGCAAAACTCCGTCTCAAAATAAATAAAAAAAAAAAAAAATTAGCTGGATGTGATGGCCTGTGCCTGTGGTCCCAGTTACTTGGGAAGCTCAGATGGGAGGACTGCTTGAGCCTGGGAGGTTAAGGTTGCAATGAGCTGTGCTCGTGCCACTGCATTAGTCTGGGTAACACAGCAAAAGCCCTACCTCAAAAAATAAAAAGGGGAGTGTAGGGGTGGGGGTGCTGGCCTCACATTGTGGCTCATGCCTGTAACCCCAGCATTCTGGGAGGCTGAGGTGAGAGAACTGCTTGAGGCCAGGAGTTAGAGAACAACCTGGGAAACATAGTGAGATACTACCTCTACAAAAAAATAAAACAAATTAGCCAGGTATAGTGGCATGTACTGGCAGTCCCAGCTACCAGGGAGGCTCAGGTGGGAGGATCACTTGGGCCCATGAGTTTGACACTGCAGTGAGCCATGATTGTACCACTGCATTCCAGTCTGGGTGGAAGAGTAAGACCCTGTCTCTTAAAAAAAAAAGAAAAAAGAAAAAAAAGTGGAGGGGGTTGGGAGGGTGCTGGATGATTTGGGAAAGTTCTGCTCGTGTACCATGATGACTTGGGAAATGCCTTCTGGTATGCATTCAGGCCCATAATTCTAGATACTGAACAAAACTGTTCTTTAATTTAAAAAAAATTTGTGAACAGGCCAGGCACGGTGGCTCACGCCTGTAATCCTAGCACTTTGGGAGGCCAAGGCGAAGTGATCACTTGATGTCAGGGAGTTCAAGACCAACCTGGCTAACATGGTGAAAACCCTGCCTCTACACACATGCACACACAAAAATTAACTGGGCTTGGTGGCGGGCGCCTGTAATCCCAGCTACTTGGGAGGCTGAGGCAGGAGAATCGCTGTAACCTGGGAGGCGGAGGTTGCAGTGAGCCAAGATCACGCCATTGCACTCCAGCCTGGGCAACAAGAGTGAGACTCCAATTAAAAATAATAATAATAAAATTGTGAATAAATTCACAAATAGGAAAAAGCAAGAACCAACAGCTGTTAGAACCCCCCCATTCCCAGTGTTAGCTCAATTAAAAACAAAAATGTATCCTTGCCTCTCTAATCCATTAGAATTCAAGTAATTCTTAAATCCTTTCTATTTTAACTTTATTTTTTCCTTTGGAGACGGAGTCTTGCTCTGTCACCCATGCTGGAGTGCAGTGGTGTGATTTTGGCTCACTGCAACCTCTGCCTCCCAGGTTTAAGAAATTCTCCTGCCTCAGCCTCCTGAGTAGCTAGGATTACAGGCGCCAGCAACTACACCTGGTTAATTTTTGTATTTTTAGTAGAGACAGGGTTTCATCATGTTGCACAGGCTGGTCTCAAACTCCTGATCTTGTGATTTGCCCTCTATTTTAATTTTAAAAAAACTATCTAACCTTTCCAATCTAGTTTCTTCCTATAATTTCACTGAATAGTACATAAAACAACAGATGTTATTAGTGCTAGGCATGGTGGTATATGCTTATAAGCCTAGCTACTCCAGAGGCTGAGGAAGAAGGACTGCTTGAACCCAGGAGTTTGAGACCAGACTAGGCAACACGGCAAGACTACATCTCAAAAAAAAAAAAAAAAAAAGAAAAAGAAAAAGAAAAGAAAAAGTGCTACTAAAACACTTTTAGCTACTATCTCTTTTGATATCTTGACCACTGTTCAATAATTCATAGTACAATTCTGAAATATCCAAATCCTACATCAAATTTTGTTTTTAAAAGAAATTCGGGGTTTTCATGTCTAATAGCATCTATTTATTTTCTTCCTTTAGATTATGTCAAATGGTAGAAAATCAATTCTCTTTACCCATTAATTCACAAATACCTATGAGAGGCAAATGGGCACTTGATGAAAAATGCTTTATATATCAAAAGACAAGCATAAGGCATTAAGCTGTTGAAAAATATACCATAGAAAAGTTTTTGTATGGGCACAGTGGTTCATGCCTGTAATCCCAGCACTTTGGGAGGCCTAGGTGGGCAGATCATTTGAGGTCAGAAGTTCGAAACCAGCCTAGCCAACATGTTGAAACCCTATCTCTATTAAAAATTAAAAAACAAAATGAGCCTGGCATGATGGCCTGCGCCTGTAACACCAGCTATGCGGGAGACTGAGGAACAAGAATTGCTTGAACCCAGGAGGCCGAGGTTGCAGTGAGCCGAGATCACACCACAGCCCTCCAGCCTGGGTGGTAGAGTGAGACCCTGTCTCAGAAAAAAAAAAAAAAAAAAGTTTTTTAGGGCTAGGCACAGTGGCCTTTGGGAGGCCAAGGCAGGCAGATCACAAGGTCAGGAGATCGAGACCATCCTGGCTAACACGGTGAAACCCTGTCTCTAAAAAAAAAATTATTAAAAAAAAAAAAAAAAGGTTTTGTAGACAAGAGGAATCTTTTTTTTCTTTTGAGACGGAGTTTTGCTCTTGTTACCCAGGCTGGAGTGCAATGGTGCGATCTCAGCTCACCGCAACCTCTGCCTCCTGGGTTCAGGCAATTCTCCTGCCTCAGCCTCCTGAGTAGCTGGGATTACAGGCACGTGCCATGCCCGGCTAATTTTTTGTACTTTTAGTAGAGACGGGGTTTCACCATGTTGACCAGGATGGTCTCGATCTCCTGACCTCGTGATCCACCCGTCTCGGCCTCCCAAAGTGCTGGGATTACAGGCTTGAGCCACCATGCCCGGCCGACAAGAGGAATCTTATGATACAATCAGGGATAAGATTGGCATCAGATATCTAACTATCTATTTATTTATTTTGAGACAGAGTCTCGCCCTGTCTCCCAGGCGTAGTGCAGTGGCATGATCTCAGCTCACTGCAATTTCCGCCTCTTGGGTTCAAGCAATTCTCCTGCCTCTACCTCTCGAGTAGCTGGGACTACAGGCATGTGTCACCATGCCCAGCTAGTTTTTTTGTATTTTAAGTAGAGACAGGGTTTCACCATGTTGGCCAGGGTAGTCTTGATCTTCTGACCTTGTGATCCGCCCACCTCGGCCTCCCAAAATGCTGGGATTACAGGAGTGAGCCACCGAGCCCGGCCAGCATTGTCTACTTATAATGATACTCAATGCATATATTCCTCTTTATATTAAGAATATAAAAATTTATATTAGGAATATAAGTATATTAGGACTTCATTTTAAGCATCTGGCCCATATTCAGCCCTTAAACAAGAAAGATTTGTGACAACCATCTCCATCCCACCACAGATAACTTTCCATCTTGAGGCCATACTTACTTTTCTCTATCTGTTTTGTAGATCCGAGCAATCTCAGGCACTAAAGGATCATCTGGATTGGGATCACACAACAGAGAACAGATGGACAAGAGTACTAGAATGAAAACAATTTGTATAAATTAGTAGAGGATAAAAGCAAAGGGCTGAGAGACACACGAGACACCAAAACATAAGAAAATTCTAAGAATTTACACTGTAATGCCTAGCAGCTTTCTAAGTTTTACTCAAATTTCTATTGACAGTAATCAACACAGATTTTAAGAAGCTTAAATAGACTTCAGTTTAAGTCATTAAAAAGTAAAAATGCAAACAAATAGCAGAAAATGTTACATGGCACCTTGGTCTCCCAGATATGAATATAAGCCCCTTTGTGCAAAGTCTCACAATAATCCCATGATGTAAGAAGAGTTGATATGATTGTCTGTATGCCTGAACTCACAAGGGAGCTGGCCCAGACAGGTACAGTGATCTGTTCAATGTCCCTGACTAGTAATTAGAATAGAATTAGAACTTGGTCTAAATCCTAGACCAAGAACGTTTTTCAGATCCCATAAAGTACAATTTTTAGAAACCAATTTTCAGGAATAAATGGCTTTCAAAATTCCAAAGACAGGCCAAGTGCAATGGCTCACTCATGTGATCCTAGCACTTTGGGAGGCCATGGCAGAAGAATTGCTTCAGGCCAGGAGTCTGAGACCATCCTAGGCAACACAGTGAGATTCTGTCTCTACAAAAAATAAATAAATAAAGCCAGATGTGGTGGCACACTCCTGTGGTCCCAGCTGCTTAGGAAGCTGAGGTGGGAGGATCACTTACACCCAGGAGGTCAAGGCTGCATTGAGCTGTGTTTGCACCACTGCACTTCAACCTGGGTGACAGTGAGATCCTGTCTCAAAAAAAAAAAAAAAAAAAAAAAAAAAGACAGCCACACTATTGAAAATTCTTAGCAAAAATGACAACCATAAAATCCAACAATCACTGTTTTCCAGTGGCAGGCATCACATTCAGATAATTGTTTTGTTTCATTTTCAGTTGAAAACAATTTCATTTAAATCAAGAACATAAATGCAAACACTTGCCCCCAAACGGGGATGGCCATACACTCATTACAGAGAATACAACATACTTCTATGAATGTCTCAAATTCTCTTCAGTGACGATTTAGAATCTCATCTAAGCCATTTCCTCGGTGACAACCTGGGATGTAGCAGACAAATCTCAATAGTGTAATTTCCTTTGTTCAAATCTGTCATTAACTTATGTTTTAAAATATTTATTTATTTATTATTTATTTACTTAGAGACGGGGTCTCACTCTTTCGCCCAGGCTGGAGTACAGTGACATGATCTTGGCTCACTGCAACCTCTTCCTCCAGGGTTCGAGTGATTCTCATGCCTCAGCCTCCTAAGTACCTGGGATTACAGGCTAAAAGTCATCCTCTCACCTCACTCTCCAGGTGAGACTAACGGTAAGCATCACCATGTCTAGCTAATTTTTTTTTTTCTTGTAGAGACTGGGTTTTGCCATGTTGGCCAGGCTAGTCTTGATCTCCTAGGCTCAAGTGATCCACTCGCCTCAGCCTCCTGAAGTGCTGGGATTACAGGTGTGAACTACCATACCGGGCCATATCTATCATTAACTTATGCATTCCTTACTGAATACAAAGGGGGGCATTAGCTCACTGATTACATTAAGTTCAGTAGCCTTGGACACAATAAAACAAATTTAAATCCTCTATACTAATGCTAATAGAGCTCAAGCTATCTTACTTTTCTCTAACGTTCTGTACAAAGAGATAATAACTCTGAGCCCACTTTCCTCCCAACACATAAATTCAGCAGGGAAAAAATTCACTCATTTTCCTATCAAATCTACCCTATAGCGATCAAGGGCTTCTGCGAAGTAAAGAAAAAGTTCATATGCCCTTTATCATTCAGTTTGGTAACAAAAATGCTATTTCCTTGCCTTAAGAATATATGGGTCGGGCGTGGTGTAATCACACTTGTAATCCCAGCACTTTGGGAGGCCAAAACAGGCAGATCACCTGAGGTCAGGAGTTCAAGACCAGCCTGGGCAACATGCCAAAATCCTGTCTCTACTAAAAATACAAAAAATTAGCCAGGCATGGTGGCACATGCCTATAATCCCTGCACTTTGGGAGGCTGAGGTAGGTGGATGATGAGGCCAAGATGGTGAAACCCCATCTCTGCTAAAAATACAAAAATTAGCTGGGCATGGCAGTGTACGCCTGTAATCTCAACTACTCAGGAGGCTGAGGCAAGAGAACCACTTGAACCCAGGAGGCAGAGGTTGCAGTGAGGCGAGATTGTGTCACTGCACTCCAGCCTGGGGACAGAATGAGACTCCATTTCAAAAAACAAAACAAAACAAAACAAAAAATATTAGGTGGGCATGGTGGTGCACACCTGTAATCCCAGCTACTTGAGAGGCTATAGCAGGAAGAACTGCTTGAACCCAGGAGGCGGAGGTTGCAGTGAACCAAGATCGTACCACCATACTCCAGCCTGGGCAGAGCAAGACTCTGACTCAAAAAAAAAAGAAGAGTATATGAAAGTTTTTTTTTTTTTTTGAAAAATCGGGAAAGATATTTTCTGATTCTTCATTCCTGTTGCCCACAATTCTGGCAGCTGGTATTTCAAAAACATTTTCCCATTGTCAGGTGTCATCACCTGAAGCCCTCTTCAAGCACAGAACATTCTAATATCAATTAGGAAAAACTTCATGTATTTCCTGGAAATGATAACAAAGAGTTAGAAATTTTTGAATGTTCTTTTAACTCATTCTTCTTGTTATTCTAGTAAGTCAACTTTAAAGGAAACATTTTAAAGAAAGAGCTTTTCTGACTTTCTTGCCAGGGAAGAAAAGTGGGTACTGGCTTATTTGGACCTTGTGAAAAAATTCTTAGTATACTACTTAGCTTCTTGAATTTGTGAAAAATTCATTTTGGCTTATAATATACTGATATGGTTTGGATCTGTGTCCCCAAACAAATTTCATGTTCAACTGTAATCCTCAATGTTGGAGGTGGCGCCTGGGAGGAGGCAACTGGATCATGGGGGTGGATCCTTCATGCATGCCTTAGCACCATCCCTTTGGTGCTGTTCTTGTAATAGAGTTCTCATGAGATCCGGCTGTTTTTTTGTTTGTTTGTTTTCTAAATAGAGAGGTGATTTCATCATGTTGGTCAGGCTGGTCTCAAACTCCTGACCTTGTGATCCACCCGCCTCAGCCTTCCAAAGTGCTGGGATTACAGGCATGAGCCATGCGCCCGGCCTAGATCTGGTTAATAGTGTGCGGCACCTCCTCCTCTCTCTCTCTCTCTCTCTCTCGGTCCTGCTCCTGCCATGTGAGACAGGTGGCTCTAACTCTGTCTTCTACTGTGAGTAAAAGCTCCCTGAGGCCTCCTCAGAAGCAGATGCCTCCATACTTCCTGGATAGCCCCTGAAACTGTGAGCCAATTAAACCTCTTTTCCTTATAAATTATCCAGTCTCAGGTATTTCTTTATAGCAGTGCAAGAATGGACTGATACATATACTATACCTTCCTCTTCTGTAAAGAGAGTAACTCTTACTTCTATAACCTGTATAGTCTCTTCACTGAACTTTTACCTATATATATTCTTCATCAGTATTGCTTTTTTTTGTGGGGGGGCGGGGGGGAATAGAGTCTTGCTCTGTTGCCCAGGCTGGAGTGCAGTGACATGATCTTGGCTCACTGCAAATTCTGCCTCCTGGGTTCAAGCGATTCTCGTGCCTCAGCCTCCAGAGTAGTTGGGACCACAGACACACACCACCATGCCCAGCTAATTTCTGTATTACTGGTAGAAATGGGGTTTCACCATGTTGGCCAGGCTGTTCTTGAACTGACCTCAAGTGATCCACCTTCCTCGGCCTTCCAAAGTGGATTACAGGCATGAGCCATGTTGCCAGGCCAGTATTAATCATTTTCACTAGTGTTATAACCCACAGTTATATTCACTCTAAAAACATACAATTGAATGGCTTATTGGCACACTTATCTACTTCCTTTAAGTTTTTTTTTTTAATTTAGGTTCCCCTCACTTATCTTCAAAGTAGAGGGAATACTGGGTCAAAATTTCTGTCCTTGAAGACAGACTATATGTTAAAGAAATAATATCACACAGGATTAAGGTGTTTCACAAAACTACTTGAACATACATTCCATTTACAAGAGACTCATTAAAACCTTAAACCTTTTTGAGGCCCAGATGTATGGATCACGAGGTCAGGAGATTGAGTGAGACCATCCTGGCTAACACAATGAAACCCCGTCTCTACTAAAAATACAAAAAATTAGCCAGGCATGGTGGCATGTGCCTACAGTCCCAGCTAGTTGGGAGAGGCTGAGGCAGGAGAATCGCTGGAACCCGGGAGGCAGAGGTTGCAGTGAGCCAAGATCGCACCATTACACTCCAGTCTGGGCAACACAGCGAGACTTTGTCTCAAAAGGATAAAAAAAAAAAAAAAAAGAAAAACCTTAAACTTAAGACAGTTAATACAATCAAATTCAACAAAATGGCACTGCAATTATTTTAAAGGATAGCCATCCAGCTAGAGAGAACCTAACAAATCAAACTTGTAATAACCCTCATTTACAATAGCTGAAAAAAAATCAAGGCTAAGCAAGAGAAGGGGAAAAACAAAAAGAGATATGGCAATAATTTCAGCTATCTTTTGCCTTGAATACCCCACCCCACCAAACACACGCCTCTTACATAATTCCACTTCTCTTGGTCCCATTACTAGATTTATATCTATATTGCTACTGGGCGAAGGAAGTGCGACCAATGGGAACTTCACCAGGCCAGGCAATTACAAAAACAGGTCCACAAACACATTCTCAAGTAGCTCTTGAATTGTAGGGGAGCCCACGAAAAGAAAAGAAACACTTCTCTAAAAAGTTATTTCATTACAACTTTTAAAAATGTAGTTCTCTGTCATTCTGTTTTTATTTCTGCTTAGGACTCCAGAAATTTTAAATTAATGCCTCACAGTTTTGTTTGCTTTAAAAAATTAATTTGTGGTCAGGCGTGGTGGCTCAGGCCTATAATCCCAGCACTTTGGGAGGCCGAAGAGGGATGATCACCTGAGGTCAGGCAGGCAGATCACCTGAGATCAGGAGTTCCAAGTCCAGCCAGGCCAACATGGTAAAACCCCATCTCTACTAAAAATACAAAAATTAGCTTGGCATGGAGGTGGGCACTTGTAATCCCAGCTACTTGGGAGGCTAAGGCAGGAGAATCACTTGAACCTGGGAGGCCAAGTTTGCAGTGAGCCGAGATTGCATCATTGCACTCAGCCTGGGCAACAAGAATGAAACTCCATCCCAACAAAAACAAAAATTTCACACGACATTTCACCACACAAATACCAAACTAACATTGCTTGTCGATTTCTGGCCACTTAACATACTTTTCTATATAACTCTTGTTCTATATAACTCTTTTCTGCTTTTTTCAAACACAGTATTTTCCTATTTTCACAATATTTGTAAGGACCAATATTTTTTTTTTTGGGAGAGTTTCCCTCTGTCATCCATGCTGGAGTGCAGTGGTACCATCTTGGCTCACTGCAACCTCCGTCTCCTGTGTTCAAGTGATTCTCCTGCCTCAGCCTCCCAAGTTGCTGGGACTACAGGTGCACGTCATCACACCTGGCTAATTTTTGTATTTGCAGTAAAGACAGGATTTTGCCATGTTAGCCAAGCTGGTCTCGAATTCCTGGCCTCAAGGGATCTGCCACCTCAGCCTCACAAAGAGCTGGGATTACAGGCATTGGCCACCATCCCTGGCCAGGATCAATACTCTTTTATATGCATATGCTAGAACCGATTTATTTCTTCCTATACTGTAAGTAATTTCTAATTTCCATAACTAATTCACACTACCACAAATGTACTTGCATACAAGCTTTTTCAGCATTTGGGATTGTTTTCTTAGTATAAATAAATGAAACTAGAATTATTGGGTGAATGGGCATAGATGATTAAGTCTCTAAATACATAATGGCAGACTGGGCTCTATAAATCTATACTTCTACTTGAAGTATATGAGTGTTCATTTCAATGTACCTCGTTAGCATTTCATCTTCTATTTAAAAGATCTTTGTTAATTAAAAAGGTGAAAAATAGGAACTTAACATTTACTTCTTTAATCCTCACTTCCCCTGTGTCCATTCATCTATCGGGGTCTAAATTTTTCCTTTTTGTACTTCGTATTTTTTTTTTTTTTTGAGACGGAGTTTTGCTCTTGTTACCCAGGCTGGAGTGCAATGGTGCGATCTCGGCTCACCGCAACCTCCGCCTCCTGGGTTCAGGCAATTTTCCTGCCTCAGCCTCCTGAGTAGCTGGGATTGTGCCCAGCTAATTTTTTGTATTTTTAGTAGAGATGGGGTTTCACCATGTTGACCAGGATGGTCTCAATCTCTTGACCTCGTGATCCACCTGTCTCGGCCTCCCAAAGTGCTGGGATTACAGGCTTGAGCCACCGCGCCCGGCCGTGTACTTCGTATTTTAAACATATTAACCCATTACCATATTTGATTTTTCTCTTAAACAACTGATTTCATTTTCAGAAAAGTACATCCTGTGAGCTCTTTTCTTTTTATCACCTTTCAGAATGGAGTGGTGAGAACTGATAAATATTCTTTTTTTTTTTTTTTTTTTTGAGACAGAGTCTCATGTCTCATTCTGTCGCCCAGGCTGGAGTGCAGTGATGTAATTTTGGCTCACTGCAAACTCTGCTTCCCAGGTTCAAGAGATTCTCCTGCCTCAGCCTCCCAAGTAGCTGGAATTACAGGCATGTGCCACCATGTCCAGCTAATTTTGTATTTTTAGTAGAGACAGGGTTTCATCATATTGACCATAGTCTGGAATTCCTGATCTCAAATGATCCACCCACCTCGGCCTCCCAAAGTGCTGGGATTACATGCATGAGCCACTAAGGCTGGCACAAACATTCATTTTTGTTTTCCTTAATAAATTTCTAGATTATTTGGTTGGGCGCTGTGGCTCACACCTGTAATCCCAGCACTTTGGGAGGCTGACGCAGGCAGACCATGAGGTCAGACGTTCGAGACCAGCCTGGCCAATATGACAAAATCCGTCTCTACTAAAAATATAAAAATTAGCTGGCCGTAGTGGCAGGCACCTGTAATCCCAGCTACTTGGGACGCTGAGGCAGGAGAATTGCCTGAACCCAGAAAGCAGAGGTTTCAAGTGAGCTGAGATCACACCACTAAACTCCAGCCTGGGCGACAACAGCGAGACTCCGTCTCAAGAAACAAAAACAAAAACATTCATACCAGTGTCCATCTTCTAACTATGCTTGAGTAGCACAACTGACAGACTAGTCACCACACCAAGGAATACTTTTGCTTGAAAAATCCAACTCTTTTCCAGTTCTCAAGGTCCATTTCAGAATAAGAATTGCCACCTCTTCTTCAAAGAAACATGAGTAATATTTTCAAAAATAAATAACTTAAAAAAGACAAAAAGACACGGTTACTTTATCCTTTATCTTGATATCAAATACCCATTGTTACCTTTTGAAATAGTTAGTGCTGGAGACCACTGTGACCGCAGAATATCAAGACAAATGCTGCCATTACTGTTAATATTTGGATGATAAATTCTTGTTGTAAATGCAACCTACAGAAAGAAAGGAAACTCTGTAAACTAGTTTATTAGTATTGTAGAAAGTACATTAAAAACAACTGCCACATTCCAATTACCTTAGGTGGTTTGAAGGGGTAATCTGTTGGGAAATGAATTGTCAAGAAAAATACTCCACCCTGATAGGGACTGTCATTCTGTTGATGACAAGAAAAGTGGGATTAAAATGAGTAAATTATATTAACTGCTTATTCTGAAATTAATCTGAATACTTACTGGCCCCATTATTGTAGCTTGCCAATGGAACACTGAAAAATAACAAGAAAAAGGTCACCATGTAACAATATCCACATTGTATCTATACCATAGTAACATATCACTCCCCTTCTAATCCAAATTCATTTATAAATAATATGATCATGAGTATTAGCAAGATGAGGAACCTACATCAAGAGTCTAAAGAAACAAGAAAATGACTAGCACGACCTAGAACATTGATAAGGTGCTCAATGAAAAATATTTCGAGCCAGGTATGGTGACTCACGCCTGTAATCCCAATACTTTGAGAGGCTGTAGTGAGAGGACTGTTTGAGCCTGAGAAGTGAAAGCAGGAATAAGCCATGATTGCCCCACTGCACTCCAGCCTAAGCAACAGAGTGAGACTCTCAACAACAACAACAACAACAACAAAAAAAAACAAAGTATTTGGGCTAAAGCTTCTTGAAACTTGAAACTTTCAGGGAAACAAACTTCTTGACAAGGTTCACAGTTCTACCTTTAAACAGTTATTTCTTTACCTAACAGGATAAATCATTCCCTCAAGACAATTACATAGAATATGAATATATATTTTTTTTTTTTTGGAGACGGAGTCTCACTCTGTCGCCCAGGCTGGAGTGCGGTGGCACAATCTCAGCTCACTGCAACCACTGCCTTCCGGGTTCAAGCAATTCTCCTGCCTCAGCCTTCCAAGTAGCTGGGACTACCAGTGTGTGCCGCCACACCTGGCTAATTTTTGTATTTTTTAGTAGAGACAGGGTTTTGCCACGTTTGGCCAGGTCTCGAACTCCGGACCTCAGATGATCTATCCACCTCAGCCTCCTAAAGTGCTGGGATTACAGGTATGACTCCTTTTATAATGCTGTCATACGGCGGGGGGGTGGGGGGGGAACCAGTAAAGTCAAGGTAGATAATACTTAAATCAGGAAAGCCTGGTTTTAACAATGAGAAAAAATTTCTAGACGATCCAAGATGGCCGATCGCTAACATCCCGAGATTGCAGCTCTCAGGGAAGGTGCGGAGAACTAGAGGACGCCACACTTTCAGACAAATTCTGGTCGCTCACGGAGCAGAAGATCCCCCAGTGGAGGAAACACATGGGTGGCCAGCGCGACTCTCGTGGCCGGCATAGCGGTTCCGCCGGCACCTCAGCGCGGCAGCTCTTGGAGCAGAGTAAACAGGTTCGGAGGACCCGCACAGGTCCCCAGCAGGACACCAGAGCCCGGCGCAGTGGCTGTGACGCACCTCGGCGCGGCAGCGCTTGGCGCAGAGTAAACGCGACCGGTTCCCCTTCTGACTGGGGTCTGGAGTCCTGGGAAGGCAGAGTCGCCTACTACGGACACAAGAAGGAAGCCAGACAGGAGAATCCTGGGCAGAAAAGCACCATTAGTTTTAATGCCGCTGCTCTGGCCCTGGGAACTAACAACCTGGACATCCACTCAAGAGACCTAATCTGAAAGTTGGTAATTTCAAAGACGACAGGAGGATAAATTTACAATGACGGGAAGAAACCAGCGTAAAAAAGCTGAGAATACTCAAAGTCAGAACGCCTCTCCCTCTAAAGATGATCACAGTTCCCCATCGACAATGGAACAAGGCTTGATGGAGAACGAGCGCATCCTGATGACAGAATCACTCTTCAAGGAATGGATAATAACAAACTTTGGTGAGTTAAAAGAACATGTTGTAGCCCAACGTAAAGAAACTAGGAACTTTGAAAAAAAGGTTTGATGAAATCCTATTGAGAACAGACAACTTAGAGAGGAGTATGAGTGAATTAATGGAACTGAAGAATACAATACAGGAACTCCGAGAAGTATGCACAGGTTTAAACACTCAAATTGTTCAAGCAGAAGAAGGGATATCAGAGGTCAAAGTCCAACTTAATGAAATAAAGCGTGAGGAAAAGATTAGAGAAAAAAGGATAAAAAGGAATGAGCAAAGTCTCCAAGAAATGTGGGACTATGTGAAAAGATCAAATTTACGTTTGATAGGTGTACCTGAATGCGACAGAGAGAATGAATCCAAGCTGGAAAATACCCTTCAGGATATTATTCAGGAAAATTTTCCTAAACTAGCAAAGCAGGTCAACATTCAACCCCAGGTAATACAGAGAACACCACAAAGATATTCCTCAAGAAGAGCAACCCCAAGGCACATAATCGTTAGATTCACCAGGGTTGAAACCAAGGAGAAAATACTAAGGGCAGCCAGAGAGAAAGGTCAGGTTACCCACAAAGGCAAGCCTATCAGACTTACAGCAGATCTCTCAGCAGAAACTCTACAAGCCAGAAGAGAGTGGGGGCCAATATTCAACATCCTCAAAGAACAGAACCTTCAGCCCAGAATTTCATATCCAGCCAAACTAAGCTTCACAACTGAAGGAAAAATAAAATCTTTTATGAACAAGCAAGAACTCAGAGATTTTATTACCACCAGGCCTGCTTTACAAGAGCTTCTGAAAGAAGCATTACACACAGAAAGAAACAACCAGTATTAGCCTTTCTAAAAATATACCAAAAAGTAAAGAGCACCAACATAAAGAAGAATTTACACCAACGAATGGATAAAACAGCCAGTCAACATCAAATGGCAGTAACCCTAAATTTAAATTGACTAAATCCCCCAATCAAAAGACACAGCCAAAACCCAATGGCATGTTACATCCAGACCTGTTTCACATGCAAGGATACACAAAGACTCAAAACAAAGGGATGGAGAAAGATTTACCAACCAAATGGAGAGCAAAAATAAATAATAAATAAATAAAAAGCAGGAGTTGCAATTTTTGTATCAGATAAAATAGATTTTAAAGCAACAAAGATATAGTGATAAAAGGATCAATGCAACAATAAGAGCTAACGATCCTAACACCCAGATACGAGACTTAGATTCAATGAGACAGAAAATTAATAAGGATATCAAGGACTCGAACTCAGATCCGGAACAAGTAAATTTAATAAATATTTATAGAGCTCTCCACTTCAAATACACAAAATATACATTCTTGTCAATACCACATCACACCTACCCAAAAGTTTAAATGAAACATTGATTGGCCATTATTAATACCCAACTTTTTTCAAAATAAAGCAGTATTTCCATTTACTCTCCCTCTTTTTCTTCCTCTCCTTTACTTTTTTTTTTTTTCTTCTTTCCTTCTCTCAAAAAAAAATCAACTTGTAAACCTCTAGATCCAGGTCGGCAATGTCTCTCTCATTGCTTGATTTCCTTCCTTCCCTTCCCTCCCTCCCTCCCTCCCCACTTCCTCCCTTCCTTCCTTCCTTCCTTCCTTCATCCCCTCCTTCCTCCCTACCGTCCTTCTTCCCTCCCTTCCTGCCTTCCTCCCCCCCGCCAAAAAAAAAAAAAAAAAAATTTCTAGAAACTCTTGTGTAGGTCTGTAGATTACTGGCCCTCATTAAAGAAATAAAAACATCATCTCGTGTAACGTAAAGGATAAGTTAAAGAGAAAAAACGAGTAAAATTTAAAAAGAAAATATTAGCTGTAAGCCCATGCTTGATTACAAGCTCTAGGGATAATTCCAGTAAGTTATAATCTTGTTCAATAAATAAATCTCTTCCAAATGCAGAAAATGGTGCTTGTTCCACGTTCTCATGCTACTATGTACAGCATGAGAGATCAAAAGCCAGAGTTTTTACTTACAAGCAAGCTACTACTTAGCACACTTAATATTCATACTATGATCTGAGCAACCTAAGGGAAGTTGTCACTAGAGTTATAGTTGGACAACCTAAACCACATAACTCGTGTCCACCAGGATGTCAGTCCAAGTTCTAAAGTTCTTTCTAGCCTCCTTAATATCAAACTAATCCCTATGGTTGGTTTGTTGTTCACTGGGACCTGAACCCAAAAATAGCACCTTGTTGATTAGGAATTAAAGGTAAAGCATAGGAATTGCTGAGGCTCCCTTCCTTAGATTATCCCTCATTAGTACTTAGAAACACTTACATTATTTTCTGCCAAACATTTAATGGATTGAGTAAGGCAAGGAGAAAGCCATTCCGGGCCACTAAAACTGGAGAGAGTTATCTTCAAGAGAAGTCCTATAAAAGGACCCTTATGCGCTGTTTAAACAAACAAAAGTGGGCACCTGTAGTCCCAGCTACTCAGGAGGCTGAGGTGGGAAGACGGTTTGAGCCCAGGAGTTCGTCTAGCCTGGCAACATAGCAAGACCCTGTTTCCAAAAAAAAAATTAAAAACAAGAGACTAAGACACACACACACACACACACACACACACACACGTACACGAGTCTCATTCTATTTTTAATCATAAACATAATTTGAGTAAATAAAACATTGAGAACTAGAATTAACAAACCCCAATAACAAGGCTAAAATCACTATTAGACTAAAGAATGACCAATTGGTCAAAGGACCTGTTCTTCTACTTAATTATTTTATGTTATGTAAATTTGTGGTTATAAATGGAAGAGTATTAATTGTACCTGCATTCCTGCTCAAGGCTGTAAGACTTAGGTAAGATAATAATAAGAAAGCACTTCATTTAAATGGTGTCCTCAGCCACTGCCTGCCACAGTGGTACCCTCATCTCTAATGCCTATGCTACCTCTAGCTTGCTGAGAAGGGGGATAAGTAAGGAGGTCTCTACATCATAACTAGTACAAGGCAGATTACCAGCAAATTGACCCAGTGGTAAAGCACCCATGAAGCAACTGGCTACAGAAGTCACTCACAGGAGTATACCCTTTACTGGAAGAGTGAAGATACCTCACTGGTACAGGTCCGGTACTGTGGTACTCCGTGAAAATAGATCTCATGAGAAGGCCACTGAACTCCTGATTAGCAAACTTCCTTTCCAGCATCTGATGCAAGAAGTTGCTCAGACTTCAAAACAAACCTACGCTTCCGGCTATTGGTGCTTTGCAGGAGGCAAGTAGAGCCTATGTGATGCACCTTTATGAAGACATCAACTTTTGTGCTACTCATGCCAAATATGTAACAACTATGCCAAAAGACATCCAGCTAGCATGCCAATTACATGGAG